GACGTGATTGGAACCATGGTCTGATCCAGAAGGTGGCAAACAGAATTGTTCACGTAGCCAAAAGCCAGGCCAAAATGTCATCAGTGAATTGGCTGTTCTGTTTAACTCCGTATTAGAGATATAACAGAAAATATTTTACGATCATTATCTAGTGAAGGGTAAAAATTCCCGTCAAGAGAGTCTAATGAACCACCTCAGCAAGGTAACAAATGTACCAACTGCCATTATGCAATCCTTCCTGGCAGAGTCACTTCAACAGCACAAAACAATGCTGTGTGTTTCTGGATAAATAATCTCTATGCACTGGGAAGCAGTTACGTACAGGAGGCTGCTGCTCTGTCACTGCCATCTGACTGCTGCCAGGGATGACTGCAGTTTTTCACTCTTGGGGTCCGCAGTATTGTAACACTGAATCCCAGGGGAAGTACAGCATCTTGTATGGATGGAACAAAACACAGCACTGGAGAGCAAGAAACGTAACCACACTGACACGAGGGAAACACAGTGCAAACAGACCCTGCACCAAGCATCAACAGGGATGCTCAATAAACAGGAATAGCTAGGCTGCCTCACATGTGGCATCCTGCTTATGGCTCTGCACTGCGACTCAGGAGACCCGCATTTCATTATTTTCTTTTTTAAACAGCACACTTCCTCATGTGACAGAGTTTACGGCATTTGACTTTTTTTCCACATCCTGTTTCTGCTTGCTCCTAGGTGCAGGAGCTGCGCTGGCTTTTTACATCATTAAACTTTCAGCCTCCAGAAGAAGGGGTAGATCACAAGCACATCAAAAGAATGCCAATAACAGCAGTAAGAGCTAAGCACCCTTTGCCAGCTCACGCACTATCCTCCACCTTCTGCAGATGGGTTTTAGGACATGAGATGCCCTCCTGCTCCTTTATAGTTATGCATAGTTTGGCTTTTCCTATGCATCTACTAAATGCTATACTAACAAAATTCCAAAACTAAGAAGACAGGAAGGTCAACCCAAAGATACTGCTCAGCTGAATATCCACAACACAGCCTTTGCCTGCACTTTTGTACACAATCCAATAACAGCTGCTCTCTGATTTTCTTTAGAGCTTTAAGCACCCCTTGCAAGCAAACAGCAAAGACTTTCTGAGCATTCTGTGTGTAATTGTCACAGGTCCCGGAACTGCATAAGGAGCTTGTACCCTGGTGAACCAGTGGTTAGCCAGCACTGCACTACTCACAAGCCACAATGTACAGCACCTCTTGACTGTGAGCCTTGCCAAGGCATTCCTTTCCTTACTTTCCTCCTTCCAAGATAACCTAGCACTGGTGTGACGCTGAGCAGCTACACGGAAAAGTTTCCTTCCATGTGGGGACAACCTGTCAGTAATCACATGCTGTGAAGCATCCAAAATAACCAGAAAAGTTCTACAGTTTACCAATAGCTTAAACTTTGGGAAAATCATATCCTTTCTGCAAAACAAACAAAACAAACAAAACAAACAACCCAAATCCACATATTTTGCCTTATTTGACTGCTAGGAGGCAACAGTGAAACAAAAGGATTTGATGGAGGTGAACTTCATAGCAGGCAGCTTAGGCAAGGCATGGGGGGGAACACCCCTGCACCAGAGTGGCTGCATGGGGATGGAGTCACCTAAAGGAGCCCATGCCTCAGCAGGGCATCATCAGGCCTGTATGGGACAGAACAGTGTAACCCAGGCAGCACACCCTGCACAGACAGTGCTACTTCTGGCTGTAATTTGAACGCACACATGCTCACCACTCACACAAATTCAAAATAAACAAAACAAAAAGAATAAAAACAACAAGGACGTTGCTTGCAGGATGCAGGCCAAGGAGGAAGCTGTTTGGTCATTTATTGACAACTCTACAGTCCTGGTGCAGGTGGGAGAGCTGAGCTCCCGCTCCACACCCAAGGCACACGGTGCAGAAGAACATTTCCTGTGGTGACGCATGATGCTCCTCTCGCTGCGAAGAGCCATCAGTGTTTCACACTTCCCCTTTCAGGAGCCTGACATTATTTGTACACTGTGGAAAGCACAAGTCGCGTCGATTCTTCTCAAAGAGCTGTTTATGTCTCTGCTGCTTCCTCCTCCTCTGTGACGTCCACATGGCTGTACTGCCTCCACGCTTTCAGATTGCACTTTCGGAGAACCGCTCCCAGCTGTTTCCCAGGACCCACCTCGTAAGTGTATGGAAATTCCATTCCCTGCTTCCTCTGGTACACAGAATGCATAGTCTGCTCCCACAGCACGGGTGAGACGAGCTGCTTCAACAGCAGTTTCTGGATGTGCTTTGAGTGCATGTACTTTTTGCCATCCACGTTGGAATAGACACAAATCAGTGGTTTTTGTATTTCGATGGACTTCAGGACTTCAGCCAGCGGCTCTACTGCTGGTTCCATGAGTTGTGTGTGGAAGGCACCACTGACAGGAAGCATTTTGGTACGTGTGAAGTTGAATTTTGGGGCGTTCTTCTGCAAAAACTCCAAAGCCTATAAGAAAGGGAGAGCAATCACAGCCTGACACAACAGAATTCCACGTGCTCACTCCACCAGATTGACCTCTCCAGGCCCAAGGCAATAAAGCCACTCCTCTCCTACCCAACCACCAAGCACACAGTGGGGAAAAAAAACAAACCATGAAGCAAATACATAGGCTGTTCTGAAAGTAATGCCTCCTATTATTTCTACAACAAAGAGCACAATAACACAATTTGATAGAGCAAATTCTCAGCTACAAAACACTATTTTGCAACATAGTCCCCACCATTAGCTATGCATTTTTGCCAGAGATGAACAAGAGCCTGCATGCTGTGCTCATAAAAATCTGTAGAAGCAGAGATGACCTATGGTTGCTGTCACTACTGTTGAAAAGTACCACCAGCTGCCTCCATGTATTCACATCCACTGTCTGGTCTCTACAGATATTCAGTAAGTGTTGATAACTGTCAATGGCTGCCATTTTTTCCACATGCAGGAATTCAAGGACAGAACTTTGCTTTATATGCACTTCCACGTCAGATGCCATTTTGTCAGACCGCCCCTGTTGCCATCTGTCACACAGCAACAAAACGTAACACAATATCGGTGGGAAGGTTTAGCCTCTACTGCCATACCACCAATATCTGCCTCTGGCCTTGTGGGCCAACAAAACAAAATAGGTGGCATTACTTTTGGAGCAGTTTTAAGACATTAAGTTGAAGTAAGCAGGTGCATCTCCTGCAGCAGTACCTGTATGTGGCCTGCGATGACTCTGCTATCTGGGAACAGGTAGTTGGAGACCTCGCACACGGGGTTGTCAATGCCCAGCGACTCACAGTGCCTACGGGCTTCCAGGCAAGCGTATTTGTAGTTGACCTCTCGTCTGCCGATGACTGAAAGCATTCCACTGGGGACGGCCTCCGACGCCGCCTGCATGGCCTCAGCACGTACCTTCACAGCATAGAGTGCTGAGGGGAGAAGGGGACAGGTGAGTGCAGACAGGCAGCTCGCTCACATCGGGAGTGAGAATCACAGAATCACTACGGTTGGAAATATCACCAAGATCATCCAGTCCAACCATCAGCCCATCCCCACCATGCCCACCGACCGTGTCCCTCAGTGACACATCTACACATTTACTGAACAACTTCAAGGACAGTGACTCTACCACCCAATGCACCACTGCTCTTGCAGAGATGTATTTTTTTGTAATATCCAATCTGAACCTGCCCTGGTATAACTTGAGGCCATTACTTACTATCCTATAACTAGTTTATTGGGAGAAGCAGCCAACCCCCACGTCACTGTAACTGAGTTACAGAGAGCAGTGAGGTCTCCCCTCAGCCTTCCTTTCTCCAGACTGAACAATCAATCCCAGCTCCCTCAGCCGCTCCTCACAAGACTTGTGCTCCAGACCCCTCACCAGTTTCACTGCCCTTCTCTGGACACGCTCCAGGGCCTCAATGTCTTTCTTGCAGAGAGGGGCCAAAACTGAACACAGTACTCAAGGTGCGGCCTCACCAGGCTGAGTACAGAGGCCGATCACCTCCCTGCTCCTGCTGGCAGCGCTATTTCTGGTACAGGCCAGGATGCCGTTGGCCCTATCGGCCACCCGAGCACATTGCTGGCTCACGTTCAGACGCCTATTGACTCCAAACCCTTTCCAAGGTTGGTGTTTTTAATGGCGACGTCACGCATATCAAAGAAAACCGCAGGAACAGAAAGCAAAATTCACCCTCCGACCCGCACCTTCCGCAAAGTCCATGGCTCCGGCGAACACCAGCGCCGCGAACTCGCCCACGCTGTACCCGGCGGCGGCCACGCAGCTCTCCACAACCTGCACGGACACACGCGCGGCCGTCAGCGGGGCCGGGCCGGGCCGAGCCGGGCGGCGGGAGCCACGTCGCGGCCCCGGCGGCTCGATGCTGGGCCCGTTGGCCGCCGCCTACCTTAGGCTGCAGGTGGTTGAGCTTCTCTACGGCGGCCAGGGAGGCGACGAACACGGCGGGCTGGCAGTGCCGGGTGCGGTCCAGCTCGGCCCGCGGCCCCTCCAGGCAGAGCGAAAGCAGGTCGTAGCCCAGCACCTTCTCGGCCAGGCGGTACATATCCCGCACGCCGGGATAGCGCAGCAGCCCGCGGCCCATCCCCACGAACTGGCTGCCCTGCCCGGGGAACAGCAGCACCGTGCCCTCCCGTGGAGACCGCCCCTCCCGCCTCGCCTCCGCCGCCTCCCCCTCCTCGCCCGGCTCCCCGTCCCCCACCGAGCTCTGCAGCAACTCGCTCAGGCTCGCCGCCCGTTCCCCACCGCCTCGGAGCGAGCTGCCCCGCCGCCGCGCTGCGCCGCGCAGGACGCCGCGCCCGCTGCAGCCAGCGAGCCGCCATGTTGCCGCGGCCCAGCTGCCCATGGCCGCCGTCTGCCCGCCCGCGTTGCCCCGGGAACCGAGCGGCCCCGCCGTCCACGGCTCGCGCCGCGCTGCTCCGCGACGCCTCCTTGGGGCGGGCCCCGCTGGCGGGCGGGCACTCGCGGCAGAGGAGGCGGCGGCGCAGGAGCGGAGCGGAGGTAAGGGGTGGCCCTGGCCCCGGCCGGGGATGGGGGGACCCTTGTGCCGCGGTGCTGGAAGCCGGAACGGCGCGACAGCTCCTAATGGGACATCTGCTCACGGGCGCCAGGAGGGGCCGGGTTTATTTTCTTAGATTTCCAGGCTCCCTCGGTTTCTCGGTTTCTCTCTGCTCTCTTGGTTTCCTCAGTTGTTGTTGGGGCTGCGGGCCCCTCGGGAAGCGGCTGAGATCTAGAGGGGCCGTTCTGTTCCCGGGGAGCCCCCGGCTGCTGAGCACGAACAGAAGCAGCACCGCTCTCCCTTTGGTTCCACACGAAGGGCGCTGGCCGTGTTGCAGCGCTCAGGGCTTGGCCGTGTGGGTGGGCCGCCAACTGCCCTCAGCTATGGAGGCAGTCCTGGAAGAGGTTCTCTTACATCCCGCTCTGTCTAAAGAATTCCCAGGTCTGCACGGCGCCTACACGGGGAATATCCAAGGGGAACGTCTGTGTTAATTATATACACGGATGGCGCTTGAGAAGTGGTGGCAAAGGAAGACTGCCTAAAGGGTGCTTTGTCTTTAAAATACAGCCTGTTCTGAGGATCTTACACAAATGTACATGGTGAAAGTTACAAGGGACTGAGCAGTAAATGGCAAATTGTCACGCAGGCAGATCCATCCCAGCAGAGAGGGCTGCCTCTCAGTGTGTGACTTTGCCATTTGGAAAGCAGTGGCCTGGGCAGAGAGACCTGCTGTGTCTCCAAACCAGATAAGCATGCTTGTGTCGCTCACCTATATCCTTAAGGACATACCATCAGCTGTTTAATTTATAAGTGCACACTATAAACATATAGTTAGATGTTTATGTTGTATTTCTGTTATGCAATATATATTGTTTTAAATTATAAATGAGCCATAAAAGTCCCTTATTTCAGGCAAACACACCTGACGTTGCTCCAGCTATTACTAAAGATTTACAGACAAGACTCCTTTGAGGCAGCTAAGTTCTGTACCACAAGCTGTGAGAAAACTTTGTCTTCAGTGCCACTGTTTCCCAGCAGCCAGAGCTGAGGCAGACCTAAGAGGTTTATCGCTATCCAACAGGCATGCACCCCTTAATCCTTTGGGCAGCTATGTGATGTGGAGCCTTTCCCCAATGAGGATTTGCATGCTGCCTCTCAGATCTGGGTAGAAACTTACTGCCCCCCAAACAGCATATTAGAGAGGATAAGTGTCTCCTCTGGGGGACCTCACTCCCAACTTCTGGGGCTTTGTCTCTACCTCAGCGTGCCCAGGACCACAACTCCAAAGCCTTGTCGGTAACTTCGCCCCACTGAGAGATTTTCCTTAGTACTGTTAATGCAATAGCTGTAACTTAAGCCCCGTGTGATTGGAAAGCCAGCACCAAGTTACTTAAGGGGATTAGTCAGAGGTTTATCGGAGCAGGGATGTAATACTGCAATGGAAGCGGCTGTCCTCTTCTGCTCCTGCTCTCTGGCAGTGCTCAGCATGGATAGGGGGAGGGCACACACCTGGCTCTCACAGAGCTGCTCCTTCACTCTGGGTACTTCTTCACTACCCTGAGGCATGTTGGCTCCTCTGTCGCAGTACACGTTGTTCTCCACACCTTGTTCTTTCTTGTACACAACCTCTTCCAGACAAAGGAGAGGACACGGAAAGCTTCCGCTTCACTTTCTGTACATTGTGCCACCCTAGGAAAACAACCTGCAAAAAGACAGAAGGCTGCAAGCCATAATGTTGCCGATTTTCCCCTTTATTTCTCTTGGTGCATTACAAAGCTGGAACTATTGTTGGACAGGTCTGCTGCTTTGAATAGCCAGAAGCAGTATTTTAACATGGGTGAAACAAACTGGCCTGCTACAGCCAGACTGGGCTAAGCAGAAAATGGGCAGGATGATGAGGAAAACATTGCAGGGCAGAGACGAGAGGAACAGAAATAAGCTTCTATTAAGTGTGTTGAGGGAGCAAAGATCTCCAGCAGCAGAGATCAAATTGTCTGCATGCTGCAGATACCATCTACAGACATCCTGGTTTCTTCAGTATGAAAATCAGGGTGCAGAAGTATTGCACAACCAGCTCTCCCTGCAGTGGAGCTGGGACCTGACTGGGAAAGCAGTGTAGGTTGTGTAATGGATGCAGCTGGAGGGGCTGTGCTAGCATACCTGTGCCAGTAAGTTATCGCTAAGTAACTTCAGGTGTCTGTACATGCTTAGAAGACAGGATGTGCCCAAACAAAACAAATTAGAGAAGGAAAGCTGTCTGTTTCACAGCCTGGATGTTTCCAAATGCAGAACCTGCATATCTGTGAGCACAGGGCACGAGTGGCTGAAGGATCCTTATCACCTCAGCTAGTGTGGAGTGGCTGGGAACCCGCCTTTGGCCCTGATGCATTCTTGCAAACATCAGGTGGTTACAGTATGTCATTCCAAATGAGTAATTCCAGTTATGAACAATAACAGCATTATTAATGTTAAAAAAAAATAAAAAATTCCTTGTTGTCTCATTATAGTTGATCATAAAAACTTAGATGGTTTTCAGGCCTAAATCTGTGAGCATCATGCTTAATTCAGACAAAGGTGGGTAGGATGCTACATTGAAAAAAAGGCAGGACTGGCAATGGGCTGGCTTTAACTTCAACCCTTCAACTCCATTACTCTCAGAAATTTCCTGGGCATGCCACAGGCAGCACAGATCTGTTGCTGCACTGCACATTTGGGACTGGGCTGCAAGCTGCATGTTCACAAAAGGTTAGAAGTGAAACTTGAGATCAGATTGCATCACTCAGACCCCTTCACCATGTTTTCTCCTGTCTTTGTCACCTTTACAGAATCACAGAATCACAGAATTGTAGGGGTTGGAAGGGACCCCCAGAGATCATCGAGTCCAACCCCCCTGCCAAAGCAGGTTCCCTACAGCAGGTCACACAGGTAGGCATCCAGGCAGGTCTTGAACATCTCCACAGAAGGAGACTCCACCACCTCCCTGGGCAGCCTGTTGCAGTGCTTACCTTACACTGGGGTTTTACACACTGCACCTTCTGCCACAGTCTGCCCATCACTGCTGCCTGATCTTTTGCCATTCTAGTCCCAGCTTCTTTGTTTGGATGCAGCACATCTCCATTGTGTGATCACTTCCTCACTGAAAACCTGTACTGAGTAACCAAAGATGGACAAACCTTCTTCCAGAGTTAATCAGTGTGGCTCCATGAGTCAGCTGTTGCTTTTTATGGGTATTTGATGCTGGAATTTAGCTTCTGGGGAGTTAAATACAGAGCTCCACTGCTGATAGACAGCTGTGTGTTATGGGACTGACCCTCTGGCACACTGCAACTTTGTTACACAGCTCTATGTGATGCAGGAAAGCATTTTGCAATGCTGGCAAGTCCTGAGAAATGCTGTTGGGAAACAGAGTATGTAATTAGTAGTAACAACAGTCAAAAGAATAGGACACCAACAGTCAACTCAAACCAGTACATTTCACCTTTTTACTTCTGTATCTTCCTATCTCCTGTTCACACACAGCAGTACTTGCCCTGTTTCTATGCTTTGTGCTTTCCCCATTTCTGTGTGCCCTCCTGATTTCTTGTCACTCAGTGTTTCCTCTGATGTGTGGAGGGACAGGTTTGGAGCTGTGTCATTTAGTCACTGGCTGGAGCAGAGCAGTATGTTTCCAATTTGATAGCATTCAGCACTTCCAGCCTGCAAACCATGTCGGGCCTTTCCTCCATGGGGAGAAGCTGACAAAAGGAACAATGCCTGACGCAGTCCAGCTGCTTGATACCTGCAGGAAACTGCCCTGATGCTTCTGTGGCCCAACGGAGTATAACGCCCCTGAGGTCCTCACTTATCACTTTGGGAACCTACTGGCATTGGATCAGTGTGCTGCAGCAGCAGAGCTGACTGGCACCTTGAGGCGTGTGTCCAGAAGTGCACACTAAGCCCCAGTGCGCACTTATTCATGATGTGAGCAGTGGTGTAACAACTGGTGAGATCTGAGCTTTCAGCTTCTAACACAACCTTTGGGAATTACCATCTGAGGACAACCACAGAGGACCAAGGTGTGGGAGAACACCTTCACTCCTCTACTCTAGGTAAGACACTACGTGGTGAAGCAGCAGGAAGGACACAGGGCAGGAAGTGCAGCAGTGACCACAGCACAGAGCTATGCAGTTCTTTTCCTCCCTTCCTTGCAGCCTATCCTCCACCCAAGACCCGGTGCTGCTCCAGAAGGCTAGTGCATTGTTCTCCCTCCCCAGTTCTCCCCAGCTCAGTTGTGCATTTGGCACTGCTGGGCTTGTCTTTTGCCTTGCACCACTTCGCCCTTCTGTTATGGTTTTGACAGCTTTACTGCTTTGTTTGCTGTCCTTTTTGTGTGCTCCCACTCCTTCCCTCCTACAGCTCCCTTGAGGCAGCCCCACTGCCTACACAGCCCTTCTTGTTAACTCCTTACATACTTCCGTACCCGTTGTGCTTCTCCCATCCCTCTGTGCTGCTTTTCTTGCAAATCTCTGCTTTGCATCTACCACCAGAAATGTTTGTGATCCTACTCAGCCTTGTGGCTGAGGATTAATTAAATTAATCCTCATTACATCTACATGGGCAGAGTGAGAAGACAATTGTGCAGGAGATGTCCCTTGCTGGCCTGGCTCCTTCCTGTTCCCTGCATAAAAACACAGGGTGCCAGCAGAGCTCTGACAGATGATGCCATCAGTGCAGCATCCTATTCTTAAGCACATCTGCTACCGGTAGGATTTTCTCTGTCCCACTCCCTGTCTCCTTATCGCATCAGACACAGCTGTACCAACAAAACCTTCATACAGTTTCATATAGGACATCCTCCTTTGGCACATCTCTGAGTATGACTGCCCTACAGCTCTCTCTCCTGGGGGTGTCCAAGGCCCAGGGCTCCCATTGCCTCCTGCAGTCTCTTTTGTGATTCCTTCCTGCCACCTGCCCTCCCACCAAACAGATTAACAGGAATGGGGTGTATTTGACAACTGCGTATTTGAAAAACAACACGTTTTGGTTCTGCCCTTTTTACTACACCTCTTATCTATTTGCATTTTAGCAACCTAAACACAGATCTTTTATAGCATTTGACTTTTGGCCAGAAAAATGGTGACCAAGTTGTTCCCTGCTTACTTTCTGACTCATTTTATTGGTGCCCGTACACTAACTCAAGCAGCTCGGCTACCAGAGTGAGGCAGCACTTTGTGTTACTTCTGCAGGCAAATTTAATCCTGTGGACCATATGTGTTTGGCAGCTAAGATGGCTACAGATGATTGCCTGCTTCAGGAAGAAGCCGGTGCTACATTCTCCTATCCATCTTCATCCTCTCTGGCGTTTTATCTTGTGTCAGTTTCTCAAGCATCTGCTGCTTATAACATCCATCTCACTGCTCACCCTCCAAGGCTAGAAACACAACACAATGTATAGAACTACTTTGGTTGGGCACAGGCAAGACACGCTGCTTTATTCCCAAGTGCACCACTCCAGTGAGTGAATGGAGCTCTCGCTGAATACAGAAATGCAAGTTTCTATCAAACTGCACTGTTCCCCTGGTATACCCAAGTGAGAAGATTGACATAGGTAAAATTCAGTACCCTTACTGCACAAAGCTTAGAAGGAAATGAAAGCTCAAAAAGGCCAGAAAGTAAATGGTAGGTTCCTAAATGGAGGTGAGTATTGTCCAGTGAAGCCAATACAAGATCCATTAATTTCAGCTGCACTGAGAGACAAGAGTAGGCTGTGAATCAGACCCTTCCTCTGGATACTTTTAAAATCTGCCTAAAAAATATGAAATAGTTTAGTTGTTTCCTTTTAAACTTACTCTGCCAATCAACTTTCTTGGGTTTGTTTCAGATTCAGTCTCAATGGAAGTGGTACCAGCCTGGGCCTCAGCCGTGGGTTTCACGCTCCTGCCTCATGCAGGAGGAGTTTTAGGAAGCAAGATAACCAGAAAGGAAATCCCAGTGTGGTATGAATCTCTGCAGAAGCCATCCTGGTGTCCCCCTAACTGGGTGTTTGCTCCAGTTTGGGGAACTCTCTATACATCTATGGGGTATGTTTTTCACATCGTATCAATACACTTTTGTGATCTCCAGGTTGTTCATTATACAGTGCTAGACTAGAAAACTGTTATTACATTTCTGTGGCTTGTATGTCTGCGAGAAACTGTACCAAGCTGCCTGTCTAGCAGGTACAGATATGTCTGGGGAAGCTGTGTGTGGGCACGCTTTGTATGTAGAACTGTCCACTACAAAAGCAGGAGTCGGAAAAGCTGCCATTCATCTGCTTTCCTCATTCATTCTGAGGGGAAGATCTGCCAAGCTGGCAGCAGTGAAGCCAGGCAGCTTTGGGATTTCTTCTCTGCATGTCCTTCAGTGGTTTTAGGAAATTAAAAACAAAAGGGAGGAGTGAGAGGATTGGGACAGAATTGTTTTAACATAGCTCAATTAAAATAAACCAAAATCAAAACTAATACACACACACCCTTTCAGCTTAACTGCCAGCCTGTTAAGTTCTAGAGATCTGAAACCCTCTGCTGTCTCCTTCGGTACCTGTGGGAATGGGATTTGGCCTCATGACTCCCTGTTCTTCTGACAGTAATTGCTGTTCTGCCAAGTTTTTTAAAGCAGTTAAATAAGAGAGACCTGTTCCTTTCCAACATTATGTCATTATCCTGCAAGTTAATTTAAATACTACAACACCTGTTGCAAAATACAGCAATGATCCAGTATCTGAACGCATACCTGAATGCGTAAGAGAGCTGATTTAACATTCTCTCATTTTGGTTTACTTCTCTGGAAATAAAGGCTTTGTAATTTTTACAGATCCACATGCTCTTTTCTGTCTGTATTCTTTCTTCTTTCCTCTTCTTACAGGGTATGTGTGCATATTTATTTAATTGCTCTTTGCTCTTGTGTGCTCAGAGTTAGAATTCGGGTTGCTGTCCCTTGGATAAAAAATGCCTTATCTCAGGGAGACAAGAGCTGAGGGGCTTTCTCTTCAAGCTGACTGTGCAATCTGTAAACTTGTTTCTTGAATTCTCATCATAAAACTGGACGTCACATTAAATCTTTTAAAAATCACTTGCTTTGGTAATACCAAAAGCAAGCAATATGTTCTGAGGTAAGTGGTTTCAGCTACATACTATATACATCTAGCTGACTGAAAATCTATTTATCATCAGGCTTTTGCTTCCATAACCTGCCATGTATAAACCTTGGAGTGGTTAAGACTTCTCGTTTGTACAGAATCCGAGAATATTAAAAGCAATCAATAATTAAAAGCAAGGTTTAAAAAGCTTCCAAAGATGCATTGTTTAGTCTTTATGAAAGACATGGCCACAAAGCAAGCCTGGGTCACTATCTGAGTCAAAGAGAAGAAGAAATCCTCCTTACGTGACTGAGATATGTAGACTGCAACAGCTTGAAAGTTCATTACCACAGAAACACATTTGAGCCCCCTGCTGTTCAGCAGGTGCACAGTGCAGTTCACACACCTAGCAGACTCATAAGAGAAGGTGGAATCTGTTTTAGAATTAGTAACTGAATACAGGCGTATAATTCAGGGTGTTGGTACTTTGTCTGTGGGACTCTTGGAATGACTGTGTAGTCAACTGCATTGGTATGTCTAATGGAAAAGTTAAATGAACAAGAGTCTCCCTGTTCTAATCAGTCTCTTAAAGTTTAAAAGAAAATCTTACAGTAGTCATTTCCCAAATCCAAAGAATTTTTGTCTTTATCAGCTTATATTTTGGGATCGTTCTGGTGAACAGTTCTTCTTTGGCATTAAGATGATCTGTTAAAAAACTTCAGAACATTTTTGGAAGATCTTTTTATAAGCTGGTGCCCCACAAGGGGGGGAGGGTGCTGGACATGCCTTCAGTTCTTTCTCTAGAAGTCCTAAAAATCTCTGCACCTTCTGTACCCTTCCCTTCTCCCTTCTGAAATGTGACTATAGATTCCTTTTCTGCTCAGTCACCATCCACATTCACGCATGCACTTTGGGATGGTGCTCATTTTGTTCATTCCCGTCTCAATTCCTACTTCTACACTCATTTCCATCTATTTAAAAAGGTTTCTTCCAAACAGAGATATTTTTAAACCATCCTCTCTCAGTACTGATAACAACTGTTTCTTCCTCTCTTTAGAGACTTACCTTTTACCTTCAAGTCTTTGACTTGCTTCCATTTCAACACAGCATTCTCTATTAAGACTGAAATGCAGTAAGTTATCTGCTTTTCTGCACCTAGAAATGAGAACTCTGACAGAACAGAGAATATTTCTTTCCATCTTGCTGTCTGCAGCAGATGATCAACCCCCCACAGTCAGCCATTCTGTCAAGTAGTGCCAGGACATTTCCAAGTGAATTTAGACACTGAAGCAATTCATTTGTTTAAGAAAACACGGCCGCTTTCTAACCAACGTACTGGATTATCCCTTGCATTGGCTTTCTTCAGATACGGCTCCTACCTGGTGTGGAAAGAATTGGGGGGCTTCAGTGAAAAGGCGGTGGTTCCTCTGGGCCTGTATGCAGGGCAGCTGGCATTAAACTGGGCATGGACTCCCATATTTTTTGGAGCTCACAAAATGGGATGGGTAAGTGAATAAGTTTGTTTCTTCAGCCTATGCTTTTGCAGTCATCTGCGAGGTGGTGAGGCTAAAACTCGCATCGTGATTTTTTCCGCTCTGAAACCGAACCCGGTTCGTATCATCAGTACAGAAGATGGTTTGCAGAAGTTTGCTGCTGTTCTTCTTACTGCATTCCAGCAGCCACCTGTGAGAATTTACAACACCCTTAAATGTTCAGATTACAAGTAGCTCTTTCTGACACCTGTTGATAAGAGCCTTCTGCGACTACAAAATGCAAACAGTTATGCCTTAGCAAAGTTCCTAGGTATCTCTTTGGCAAACAGTGGCGATAAGAAGCTTATCGTTTACTCACGTAATCAGCATCCGGTTTAGACAAGAGCAGCTGTCTGCATGCTGAAGAAAAACAGCTCACCTTAAAAATAAAAATTAGTATTAAAAAATGATTTGCCTGGCTCTCTAAATATAAGAGCAATGTTTTAAAAGCAGAATGCTTTGCAAACCATAATTAATTCAACCACACCACATCTCTTCAGGCAGTATCTAGAGCAGAAAAGCACTGGGTGAGATTACGTGGCTAAGGGGCTGTTTCTGCTACCAATGGAAAAAGAAAAAAAAAAAAAAGAAGAGTACGGATGAGAAGAATTTTGTCTGCTCCCAGCTGCAGTGTCCTTTCTTCTCACCGTTTTATCTTTGTATCAGTCAGTTCAACTCTTAGCTCAGGAAAAAAATCTTTTTGCTAGCTATGTGCTGAGAAGTCAGCTCACAGAGGGAGCTGCGAAGTGTCAGTGCTAAGTAGAAAGAGCCACACAAATGCCATCTAGTTAAGAAAATGCAATGAGGAAAAGGACACTAACCACCTTCCTGTGTTTTAGGGGCTGGTGACTCTCCTGCTCACAACTGGTACAGCGACAGCTACCACTGCTTCCTGGTATCACATCAACAGAACAGCTGCTTACTTGATGGTCCCGTATTTAGCTTGGCTGACCATGGCTTCTGTGCTCAATTACCGGATCTGGAAAGACAATCGCAACAAGAAATCTGAATAAACAGCTTTCGGTCAAAAACACTTTTTTGCTCCAAGAATTTTCTAAAGAAAGTTATGCCTTACTACTTTTTTAGCTGAACTATTTACACTACATTATAATTTGACGCTGCAATCCTTGTTTTAAACAAATGTGCCTCAAGTAGGCAAGTCTCAAAGCCTGCATGAAGTTTCGCAGCAAATTAAACAACAGAGCACATCAGAAGGTACTGGTTTTCTGTATTGCAGCATCACGTTTTATATCACAAATAGCACTGTAACTATTACCAGAAATAAGCACTAACTGCAACTTCATTTAGAGGAAGAAATCCAGCTTCCAGAATGCTGCTCCTCACAGCCACAAGTGCCACTGTGGCCTGAATCAATCATGTTTAGCACTAAGCATGGTGCCTTATGGTCTCACTGCAGCTTCCGTGTCTTGTGATCACTGTACTCTGCAAGTGTTTAAGACCAGCTCTTTTTCACAATTTGTGCCACCCCACTTGGAAGCACTGTACAATCGTAAGTGTCAGATAAATACATTAAACTACAAGTAAACTTACTTTTCTTCCACTGTTTTTGTTACAAAAAGGTTTTGAACGAGAAGAAAAAAAAAATGCGAGGTAACAGGATGCTGTAGCCTAAAGGGGGCCCCTTCCTCTCTTTTCAGCATTACAGCAGGCAAGACAAAACAGCAAATTCAGAGTATTTATAAGCCAAGAGCACCCAAATACTCAGCAGCTGTCTGCACATACCTCTGCAGTCCCAGCAGCATTGGCCAGAGCACCCACAAGTGCTGTGCTCACCATTCAGCCCTGTCAGTGGAGCAAAAAGCCGGGCTGTTGGCAGACTGCATACACAGGCACTGAAATTGTCTCCTACCTGCACCTTCTCACTTAAGCTGCTTAGAAATGGAAACGGGTTTTTCCTCTCTGAGATTACGGTAGCTGACACAGTAAGATCTGAGATGCTTAATTCACCCAGCTGCTTCCTAAAGGAAGGAAGATAAAAGAAACAAAAAATCTTTGTCTAAAAGCATAACAGAGTATTTTAGCCCTGTGGGCTTGTGGTCCTACCACACAAATCTCACTACTTTTGTTGTGTCACTTCTTCTGGTTTGCTAAACATGATGCTGCTGTCCCCTCTGTGATGAAGGAAACTTCCCCCTCTGCTCTAGATCCAGTCTCTGTTACTTGTTTTCAAGTACTTCCAAAGCAGAAAGTGCCTTTTGCTTTCCTACAAGTCACCGGGCATCTGCTGAGCATCCTCTCAGAGCCAGTCTCAAGCACCTGTTGCAACATTCAATGCCACTCAAACTTTCAGAGACAGTTTACTCTTCTACTCAGTGTTTTAGCTGACTAAACAAAGCAGGCTTCTGAAGAAGAGCACCCCGAAATAGAATACTTCATCTTTCTTCAGTGGGTCAGAAATGAGATGCTAACAGTTCAAATTTCTTTTTCTCCCACTTTATAGCATTCGTATGCACCAAGAACTCAAAATTAACACAGACCAATAACTTCATGCACAGATTTCAGCAAATGCTGAACAGCTTTTGAAAAACTACCAGGAGCTTTTACTGATCTTTCCCCCCACCTTCCTCATTCAAGCTTCATATACTTCATTTTCAATAAACTTGCCAAATGCAACTTTAATAACCTGTTTTAACTCTGCCTAATGACATAAAAATTTTAGAACTTTGTACAACAGAAGAGTGGCTAACAAAATGATATACAAACTCCAAGATGATTCAGTAAACTGTAATTTTAATGTTCACACAGGGAACTACGCCACGTTTCCCAGCAAGAAAGCAAGAGCTTAGTCTACCTGAGAAACAACTCAGGTGTTCCAGTTCTGTCCTATTTTGAGGTTTCCCATAGTCAATAAACAAGACATTTGGTCAATACAAATTGGTGATTTACAGCACGAAGCAACACAAGGAAAATGCAGACAAAACAATTATCAGTACAGTATAAGGTATATGTGCATTCTGATTTTTTTTCCTGGGTTACTAATACAGGAAAATAATTGCATCAGCAGCTCATAGAACTGAAATGTAAATATTGCTATTAAGCAGATTGTGAAGGAAAGAATCAAGCCTCCTGTGGCTAGACGATGCACGTCACGTGGCAGTTGTCCGCCTCATCCAGAAATAAGGTGCTGAAGACATCATTAAAAAAGGTAGGGTGGTATTTGCAGGCTCTGTCACAGTCAGGATTGAAGTTCACCTCCAGAATCTGAGGCTGCATGATTCTTTTTCCTGTCCAAGAGAACACAAACACTGCCTTTTAATGCAAGCTATACAGAGACCCTGAACCATTGCCTGTCATTAAGCTAGAAGTCATTGAAAATGGCTAGAAGTTATATTTTATGACCCAACCTGGCAGGGTTTTTTTTGTTTCACTCCTAATCACTCCTTCAGCAAAGCCAGGCACAAGCATGGAATTTTGCTTGTGTCTTGGGAACTGAGAATTCTTTTCTACCCCTGTAAGAGGTAAGTGTGCACAGGGCACACTTGCAGACATATCTGAGCTTTCTGCTAAGAAGAAATTTGCCTTATTTGGCTTTTTTTTTTTTCCTACCAGTCATCCACAAATAGCTGGAAGAAAGGCTCCAAGTGGTTGTCAGCCATACTGTGACATTAACATGAAGCATCTCCATATACACATTCTCACAGGGACAACTGAGTGACAGTCCCATGGACATCAACAGCACTGAAATAGTAAACATGGTCCCTTTTCTGCTTAACTAAATAACACTGCAACCTGAAGACACTGGGCCAAGCCACAGGATGATGTCTCTTTAAGGCTTTAGTACACAGGCAAGGATTCTCCCACTGCAAACTGGAAAGAAAACTTGCCCCTGTACAGCTGTGCTTCAGCAAACTAAAACAAAGCCATAGCAGGAGTCCAAGGGAGGCATGGACTCAGCCAAGCACAGTTAGCAGCTCCCTCTACCATCACAGGTCACCAGCACAGCAGCATCTAGCTCCACAGACCTGCAACTTCAGATGCCCTTTGATGTCAGTGGGAGGTGCAGAGTGCAGAGTTTACGCTGCTTGAAAATCCGTAAGAATCTGAGCAAAGGAAATAAATTCCTGAAAATGTTCACAAAGAAGAATTCAACATGCAAAGAAACGAACTTCTCTCACCATCTCTGCTGGTGTCCCATTTTAGCATCAAGTCAATGGCATATAGTGCTCTTGATGACGGATAATCACAGATTCCAAGAGGTGCAGGTTTAGCTGAAGCAACTTGGAACAATTCAGCAAATGCCTTAAAAATGTTTGCCTAGTAATAGAAGAAAAAGGTCTCAGAACACGAAGCAAAGTTCCTACTACAGAAGCAAGCTAAAAAACCCACCTTTTAATCACTTAATGCATTCATATTTTGAAGAGTTTATAGAAATTACACTAGCCAACAGAAAAATCTGCACAGCATTGACTTCAAAATATACATTGAGACGAAGACCAACACAGTGAAAGGGCCAAGTGCTTAGCAGGTATCTGTGGAGTTCTGGGAGCAAATAAGTACAAGAAAAATCCTAATGATGGCACACATTAGAATCAACTTTCCTCTCAAGCATCAGGTGTAATACTACGCTTCTACACAAAGGAGGAGAAGGAGAGAACCCAGGGAAGCTCTGTGCACGCCAGCAGTGCAAAGGTGAAGTTTTTTCCTTCCCTGCCTGTCAAACCTAACTTAGCTTTGTTCTGCCAAGAAAAGTTTTCTACCTGCTTACACTGACATCTATAAACGGTGCTGGAAGTTTATGTATGTTTGTGTCTACCACACTGGTGTTTCCATAAGCAATTAGCCAACAGGACATACAGGTGTAATTCTTAGCATGGAAACTATATTGCAGATACTGCAGATTTACTGCAGATGCAAGAGAGTAATACTCTGCACGTGGCATGTCACTACTTTGAGTAGCCTGTGCATGGTTTCTTCTGATCTGTTTCTCAGTCTCTGCAGTCTCTTTCAGACTATTTCAATCCTAATGCTGCAAACCTGTCATGCTCTGAATGTCTTTCCTTGGATGTGAGGTTCTAGTTAAAATGGATATGAATTAGTTTATGCAAATCAACCCACAGCTGGGTAATTTATTCACTTTTGAAAGAATACACATTAATCGGTACTCAGTCACCATTTCTTCTGCATCTTTTGACTAGTTATAAATATGGAAGAATGCACAATTCAGTTCCGTGTGTACTTCTGAATCATCTTTTCACATTCAGCTTTTTCTTTCAAGCACTACTTATGAATAAGAATGACAATGTCCTCATCTGCCTTCTTGCATATTTTTCAGAAATACACTACTGGAAGCCTTTTATTTGCATATAAAATATGCCTAAGTATGCCTTAGTGTTAGGGAATCATCAGTTTTCTTGTGCAAAGGTAGCCACAGGGCTAAGATCAGCTCGCTAATGCAGGGAAGCTAGAGCTGCAGCTGAAAATCCTACATCACAGCACCCAAGTCAAAATGTAATTCAACAAATGGAGTAACGTGCTCACTTAAAAATCCCTCCTCCACCAACTCACTATTTCTAAGAGAAGAGAGCAGCTTAACTTTTTAAAAAATTTGCCACAGTATGTAAATACAGCCTCTGCACTATCCAGCCTGGTAATGCAGCCCCTTGAGCACAGCACCCTTGAGGTAAGGCTTATTTCCATCAGTCACTTTGGCACAGCTGGGCACATCCTCATCTTGCAAATGAGCTCCAGTGTCCTGCAAAGTGAGCTAACATGAAAGCTTACAGGGAGATCTTTAGACCTACAGCTCTGCTTAATATAGGTAGATCAAAACCTGATTTGGGAAGATTAGTTTTCTACTTGTTTTGGCAGCCTCTTGTGTTGTGAAGTCCTTCAGAACAACGGAAGCAAGAGCCTGAATATTTCAGTGGTTCAACTCCCCACATTCAGTGTTAATACCCTATTGAAACAGCATAGCACTGAAAGCTTTGAAAACACCTTTTTCAGAGTTGTAACAGCAGCACCTGTTATGATTAACACTTGATACTGTGGACTTCCTTGCTGTTTTGCATGGAATACTGAATGTTCATAACCACAGACTTTTATAAATGACATCCTTTCTCAGGTAGAACTCTCAGGAAAACTGATCCTGCTCCCAAGAGCCTGACATTATTTAAGACTGGCTTTATTACCAAGTCCAGTGCAGGGAATTCTCAATGCAGCCATGAAAAAAAATTCTCAAATGCTAAAAACAGCATTTGAGGTTGAATTAGTCCAAGTAAATAAATTATTACAATGTAAAAGTTAACATTTGCTGTCCTTTATGAAGCTGATGAACACGAAGTATGTTTTCTGAGGAAAAAAGTAACTTTTCTTAAAGGCAGTTTATTGAGTTGGATTCACAGATGCTCATGAAATTAAAGACAAATTGTTGACTTACCTGTACTGTTGTCCACAGATGTTCAGGATATTGTTTTTCAAATTGAGGAACAAATTCTTCACAGTGTACCTAGAACAGTTTAGAAGCAAGATATATTGCTTTGGGAATGACTGACCAATCAGATGACATTGGAATACCAAACTTTTTTTTTTTGTTATCCATAGAAATGCAGGTAGAGAAGTAGGGAGTTGGACACTTCCTGAATCCCTTCCTTGTTTTAGCGTTTATATACAAAGGATTACACTGCAGTCTTTAAAAATGATTAGCTGCCATTTTAATAATTCTTCTTATTGATTTCAATTAACGTGGATCTTATTCAGGATGTAGGTTTGTATTACCTATCACAAATTATTAGGGGTCCAGACAGCAAAATGTCTAGGAAAAAAACTTGTTGGGATATTTCCAACAGAGACTGCCTGCTAGGTACAACACAGGGTGTTGGGGAATAGTCACCAAAGAAGGCACTGGAAGATTCTTTAACAACACAAAGATAAGGGAATATTTTGGACTGTTTGCTTACCTGCTTTAACGTTACACCAGGAGCATAATTCATGACAGTGAAATGCTTCTCGTAGTCATCCAAGTCATCAAGGGAAAACGCCCTAAGGAATAAAACAGTTCCTTAGAACCAAACGTGATCCCTTGGAAGCTAAGTCCCATCAGCCAAACAAGGAAGACGAAGGCAATTACCGATTTGAAAAGCGTAGCCAAAAGACATCATAGACAAACAGCTTGAGTGGTTTAACGGAGCGCAGCAACACAGCGTAACGGATGTCAAATTTAACCATCCCCACGTCTTCTCGGTGAAATAAGACTGGATTCTCAATGTATTTGCACACTACCTAATAGAAACAAACAAAAAAAACCCCACGGAAAATATTATTTGACTGAAATGGAAAGTGGCAGTAGATATTGAGGATTTAAGACATCCTTGTATATGTTTTGGTTTTACTTAAGAAACATGCATAAATAACTGATATGTGCCAGTGGGTGTTTCATAAAAGTCCTTGGAGCCTGCCTGGGAAAGCTGGGCAGCCAGAATGTATGAAAGCCTTTTTATTTACAATTTTAGTGGCATTAACCTCTTGAAGTCTAAGTCTGAAGCAATTTGGGCACTCCTGTATTCCAGAAAAATACATGCAGTGCACACATCAGCAGAAATAAAGCTCAGGTGACAGTCTGACATTACGACTGCATACTACAGGAAAAAAAAATGAAGAGCTCCATCATTTCTCTGTTGTTGGCAGTGTTTTGTGCTGCTGAGCTATGGATCAACAATAATGATCAACAGGGGACAGAAGCAACAGTGTACAAAAATTCATGACCAATGCTAACTACACCTAAGGTGTGATCATCTTATCTGAGAATTAGCCTTGAAGCAGAAATGCACTGAACCATTAATTACTGTCAGGGCAAAACTTCTTTTTTAAATAAGAAAACATCAGCCACTTTGGGTCTTCCATCACTGCAACAAATGGTGCTGATTTGAATAATTAACTCAGAATTCACTGAAGCTGACTGCTGATGGGTCAATGTACAAATTTTGAAGAAAATAAGTTTCCTTCCTTCTAGTCTTAGACCACTTCCTGTAACAGCTTTTTCAGAAATCCATTTAAAATCTCACTCAAAGCCACGGTCTCTAACCTTTGGGCTGCTTTCCCTATGCCTGATGATATTGTTAAGGCTCTTGGTGATGTGGGTGTCCAGGCTTCTGGCCAGGTTCCACGGTTTGCATATCCAGTGATTGTCTTCTCCTCTGTGAGAGATAGAAAGCCAAAGCCTATAAGCTTCATTCATCTGTCTGAACATTCACTTGAACTGATCTACATACTCCTATGTCTTAATCCCTTTATAAAGCTGGGCACTACAGTGCAAGAACTAAGGACTTCTGACTGATAGCTTCAAGCAATGGTGTAAAAGGCAGAAAAGGCAATGGTAGCTTTCACTTTTTTCCGTTAGGGATTAGCATATTCTCACTGCTGATTTCCTTCTGTGTATCTTACTACTTTAAAAGAGAAGAACAACACATGAACATTAACACCACAAACACACAGAGGCCACGGTACAGACATCATTCTGTCAAGAGTCTGAGGCTGTGCTGGCAGGCAATCACCTCAGTTTCTAAGGTGATTCTCTTAACACCTGCAAATAATTCATAATACATTACACCATGACTGCCTCCCTGGGGAAGAAATCAGACCGTATCTCAGCAATTCACACTGCAAGAAAAGAAGAGTATACCATTCTCATCTCACTTCCCAGTGCTAAGTCACCTAAAGGGGGCAATATTCCTTGAAACATCCTCAAGGAAAACAAGTAACATCCTGGTCTTCACTCAGTACATTTTTTTGAGCAAGGACAGGGTGACACTATGTCCTTCTTTCCTCAGTTAATAAAGCAATCTGAGAAACTGCTCGGGCTGCATGATAAACAGCTCAAACTGAGCTGAAGTTAGCAGTGTTAACTTCAGATGGTTTTATTTCTGTGAAACTTACTGCCTTCTTCCCTTTGCCTTATATGCACATTGCATTTGTGCTCAATCCTTGATAAATAAGAGGAATTTAAACATCAGACAAACCAGTTGCAAATCTCCAAATGCAAGACACTCATCTTTGAATAAATTGGGATCAAAAGCACAAGATGTAAGGTAGGAGAAATAACAACCACCTTCTCTCACGCTGCTGAAAGTAACAGATGAACTGGGGCAGCTCTGTTTGCAGGTTAAAAGTACGCGGCAACCATCTTGGCCCATCCGGCCCTCCAGCTCGTCTAGATATGGATGCCAGGCAGTCTTTGACAGTCAGGAGGTTCTCACACGGGAACTGATTCAGCATTACTTCAGGTCTTTCCTCACTCAGCTTCCTGCACAACAAAGGAGCTGTTAAACTGAGGAGGGGAAAGGCCTTTTGGATCGCTTATAGAGGAAGAAAGAAAAAAGAAAAGAATTTCCCTTATCAGGAAAAGATTTACAACCTATAATCTTTGAAGTGTGAGAAGTTGTAGAGGATGTCTGCTTCTGCCTCGTTGTCTGTGAATATGAAACGAGGATGTGTCAGGCTGTTGAGGACTTGTTGGATGTCTGTGAACACCCTAGAAGAAAAAGAGATATGAAGAAAAATGAGAGTTTGATTTCTGAAAATGATCAGCTGCTGCTCGAATAGAAAACAGTGTTTTGGTTTTTTAAATGTTGGCTCCCTGCAAGTGTTACACTTCTAACCTACAGAAAAAAAAGAAATATTGTGGAACAGATTAAAAAAAAAGTTTTGAAACAAAACATCTCAAAGACAGCTTTGCTCCAGCAACTTTAACAAAACTTGCAATTGAGAACTGTGACAGTCCCTGATGGGAGAGCACTAACATGAATTCACTATTACACACGAAAGAGCCCTTGAGGGAGAAATACCTTCTAAGTACCTTCATTGGTGGAAGAGCCCTAACCATCAACCTGTCAGCAACAAGGAGCAAATCCATATGAAACCTGCACAGTTTCAGAGCTTAACATGAAGACTCAATGTCAGACTGACGTAGAAAAGCAGTTAGAACAGTAAATGAGCATTTCAACAGATTAAACAACTGTTATTTTTTCTTTTTTCTTAAGGTGTCACAATACTCTTCCTGCTCTCCAGACCTGCTCTCATCAATTAACTCTTCTTTCCTCTTCTGCAACCAACCAATCAGAAGATACAATCCCAGGAGAGGATCAACTTTTGGAACAGCCCATTCACAGGGAGAAACACTCTTTTCAAAAACCCCCAACATCTGAAGCATGTCTCTTATGCTTTGTTTATTGCTACAGACATCCTGCATAGCTCTGTGTGAGACATATTACCTTCACTGTACTATTTACCCTGGAGAGTAAGACTAGAAGAAACTAATTCTAAGCACTGGCATTTATCAAAAGAAGTCCTAATTCTTTCCCCACTACTAAAACTTGGTGAAGTTAATATCCTTATACAGCCCTTCCAGTATTTCCTTCTGCAAAATGTGGCTTCTTGAACACCTGCACAGCTGAAGGAAGTATGGCACCAAATCAGACAAAAGGCCCGGAACAAGTTGCACTAAATTCATCTCAAGAACAGGACAAATATCCACTGTTTTGGAGCAACTTTTAGTCCTTGCTGAGGGAAATAGGATTCAAAGTGGTGACCTGGAGGTAAAACAGCCTTATAATGCTGTAACAAAGTCTCGAAGCATTTGATATTCTCACGTAACTCCAGCACACTGCAAGCATCATACTTAATCTTGGTAAGAAAGCATTTTGTTTGCAGATACATACTTGAAAACTTTGTCTTTATCATAAACTGATGGGTTGATTGCTATGGGGAGTTTCTCCTTGTTTTCTGCTAAAATAGCCTAAAAACCAAAAATAAAGAAATTAATAATAGTCACAGTAAACAGGCAGCCTTGAGTCAGACTTCACAAGGATCAGCAAATAAGAACAGCAGCACAGACCAAACTGCCTTTTAACGTGCACACAGTCATATTTATAAGATAAGTGACTGGAAAACAATTTTAAAAGAAAAAATGATAACTAAAATACTCAATGATTACATGTTCATCCAAGTTTTTTATTAATGTTATCAATGTCTATTGAGGTTTTATCAAGTTATCAAACCTTACAGACAGTTTAATGCAATTCCTTTTCTTCACATAAGTCTTTAAATACAGGTGTACAGGTGTGTTTGTAGCCACAGCAAAAATGACAGTCTGTGTGTCTGACCACTGCACTGCCTGGCTCAAGTGAACTGCAGAGTCACGTTCTGAGAAACTTACGTTGTGTCATACGCTGCCCAGCAAGAAATAAAAGTAAAATAATTAAAAAAAAATAAATCAGTACAAGAGCAGAGGCAGAAGGGGGTCAGAATTAAGAGGCCACTGATAAAGAAGGAACAAAGGGCAGAACATCTGCCCAGTCAGACGTGCCCTTCATCTTCAAGGGTGTTACAGGAAGTACAATCACCTCTAACTGGAAAGTGTAAGCAAAACCAAACCAGAGACACTGCCTTCTAAAGCAAGCTGGACAATACAAATACAAATTAGATGACTACAATTCTCAGAATGGTGCCAGAAGATTTGTTTGCATCTATTCTCAAATAGCTCAAATTCAGGGACCTGCTGCAGAACTGCAACTACTTGAGTCTCCCAAGAGATCGCTTCTTTAAAGTCAGACATTTCATTAGAAGTGCCTTTATTAGGAACTGTCTCCTCTGAGCCTGCTTTCTGCAATCAGTGCCCAAATCACTACCGGCAGTACCACTGAAGTCACAGACTTTGTGGTCTGTGCTGAAGAATACAGTGAGGTAGCAGAACAAAAACCAGGTGAGATTTCATCTGCAGCATTACTGTATTAACTCTGCTTTTCTAAGCAGGGCTGAAATCTTGTAAGATCTATGGGAACTAGATGATCTTCAGAAGGGCCCTTCCAACCCAAAATACTCCACGAGTCTTTGCTTCTATTTTAAGGAAAATTAGAGCCTCAAAAGTAACACCCTTAGCTACAGCTCAGCAAAACCAACAACTCAGCCAAGCAAACAACAAATTATTTGTGTGTAGTAGTAAAGCATTCCCTGCTGCAAAAGCTGTAGAGATAGCAAACATTTACACTACCTTGCAAAACTGCTGGCTCAAAGACTGAACAAATCTGACACAGTCAGATTTTTTTGCGCACACAGCTCTGTATATGCTAAGCTATGGCAACCAGAAGCTTCAGCAACATGCATCTCTTCATAGGTATTTCCCTTCTTGAGTTATACTACATACAAAGTTTTTTCTTTGATCTGTCACCAGTCTAAATCTTCAATCATCTACAGCTAAATATTCCAGAGGAAAAAAAAAAATGTTTTCAAGGCAAGATAGGAAAGGAGTATAATATTTGCCTGTTTGCCACACACTTGAACTAAGCAACATATTGCCTTATCTGAGATCCAGGCACATTTGCCAAGAGAACTGTAAGATCAGAACTATATGAGCATCATTTCTCATCTGTAAATAGGAAGTATGCCCACCCCTCTTCAAAAATGCAAAATCCCAACCCATATGACAGTGGTTCCAGAACAGCCTATTTTGGTCATATGCATTTATTCAACAAAATCAGCTTAATTTTTGCCTAGTTAATAACTAGCTGAATTTGGAGTTTTCTGACCATCCTCCATCAAAAGCAGCAGATTGCTGGTACAGAACATGGGGATCCAACATTTTAGCTTGAATGAACAGAAATTGTTCTGGGCCAGACAAAAGATAAATACTAGAGCTAATGTATAGAAGTAACAAAATTTCTCATAATTTTTATTAAAGCAAAAATGTGAGAAAAGTGAATAAACGTAGGTAAAACGTGTGTCCTTCGTGATGCTCAGAGGACTGGAGCACCTGTCCTACAAAGAAAACCTGAGAAGGCTCTGGGGAGACATCACTGCAGCCTTCCAGTACTTCAAGAGAGTTTATAAACAGGAGATAGACTGACTTTTTACATGGTCTGGTATTGATAGAATAAAGGGGAACAGTTTTAAACTGAAAGAGGGAAGATTTAGGTTGGATGTTAGGAGGAAGGGATAGTGAGGCACTGGCACAGGGCAGTTTGGATGGGGCCCTGGATCTGGTGGGTCGTAACACTGCCCAAGGCAGGGGGTTGGAACTAAATGGGCTTTAAGGTCCCTTCCAACCCAAAAACCATTCTGTGACTCTAGGTTTTATAACAGTGGTATCAAATTAAGGACATTGTCTCCACTACAATATTTAGCAATTCTAAATCACATGATAAATGAGTAATCAGACTGAAAAGTATAATTATCCCAGTGTACTAAGATGAATCCTTCTGTAATTCAAGACAGACCAGAAGTACTACAGTGATAGATCTAGTGGGTAAGCACGTTAGACAATGTCTCAAACACTGAACTGAAGATAGGTACCTTATATGAAAGACCTTGCACTGTATTTACATGAAGAAATACCGCAATAACATAGACAATTTCTGTTGCCTCAGTTCTGTAAGTTATATCACATGCCAGATATTTCTCATTTCATTATGCTTTTTTTTAGTTAGTACCTATGCTCTGAGTCAATCTTTAAGCCTGACAAAAAGCAGAACCAGAACTCTTTGATTAGCTCTTTAGACGCCATCTCTGAAAGGATAAAATATGACATCTGTTACACCCTACCTGGTAATGCTCATCTGATGGCTCTGGGGTAAAGCAGTTGACATCCAATACCTCACTGGGCAGCCAGGGTAGCAAAACACACTTCCTGATCAAGCGATCAGTTTCCCCGTAAGCATAATCACGGGTCACTTCATCTGCAGTAAAACAAGGAGAGACTTTCAGGAAGTCTTTAATTCTACGCTCGGAAATCCCCCTCATGCCTCATCATACAAATGAAGGTTGGACAGTTAGTAATGCTACAACTGTCAGGATCAAAATGCAAAATTAGATATAATTAAAGAACTACATGAAAAAGGGTATTACTTGCAATGCAAAAATTAGGTCAAAACCAGCTGACTTACGACAGTTTAATCGTGCAGCTGAACACTATTACCCCTCTACGTGGTGGGAGCAGAATGAGGCATCCAACCACAGGTATACGTGCAAAGTCAATAACAAACAAACACAGACTCAACTTACCACCAGTTTCCAGGTCTCTCAGGGGCCAGAGAACAGTGTAAGCAATTTGTTGAGGCATGTAAAACAGGGGTGCTGTTGCAAAGCTAGGCTGATCTGAATGCTGAATGCGTGATCCAAACTCATCCATAATATACCAGACAGGAACTTTCTCTTCCGCAGTCTGCACAATTAGAGAGTGAGAAATACTGCATAGGAAAGAACTACAAGACAGAAGGTTCTGGCAGTACCCGCTACAATGTTGTCCATGCATCCAAGACACTGTGAAAACTGGCAAGTCTGTTCTTGTAACTACAGAGTCCCATCCTTCCTCTTATTACAAAGCTATTGCTTACCAAATCCACTTCCCCTGAAGCCAGCTCAGGGAATAAACACAACAGAAGGCTGTTTCCTCACACTTCTATAGATGCAGAAGGGGAGACGCACAAGTTGGACTTACACTATTCAAAGCAGTTCAGTGTCAGAAAGGGAAACTGAAGCCAAGTTCAACTATAGGTTGAATTGTCTTCCAGGGAAGCATTTTTCAAGTGGGAGCATATAATTTCACGATTCATGAGTCACTCATGAGAAAAAGACAGGAAACCAAAACACAACATAGAAAGATGGAGATGTACTGCATCTGAATGACCAAAGTTGGTGTAGTCTTATCTACATTACCTAAAAATAGGATCTGGAATAAGCTACATCTGGAAGCACACCATCTTGAAACTAGCTGGTTCTCACTTGAGGTTGAGCTAACATTTATACTGTATTGGCAATCAAATGCCAAACTGAAACCAGGAAGCTAACTTATCTGACAGCATAAGTATATCCTCAGCAGGTGAAACACCCCTACAGATGAGGAAAGCTGTGAGCATAGCTGCTGAGAGACCTGTTTGTGAGGCACTTGATTCACAAAGGAGTCTTTCCTTCACTGTAAGTAAATATGAATAGAAAAAAAAAACAAATTTGACACACAAGCAGATCCCCCCTTTCTACTGTCCTCCCTTTGCAGAAGGCTCTTCTCCTCTGTGTGGAAAAACAAGAAAAAAAAAACAACCCTCAAAATTCTTATCTGAAATGAGGGAGCAAGCCACCACACATTCTAACTTTAGATGGCATCTGCTCTCCTTCCAGATAGAAGTTTATTGTTCAATGCCCATAAAAGAACATTTTTGTGTCAAAAAAGTATATTTGTTCTACCTTATACAGGAATGCTTCACTCAGGGCTGCCCAGAAGTTTTTAGCAGCCCAGTCAAGCTTCAGAGACTCACCCCTTGAGAAAGCTGGTAGGTCTGATTGTACTTCCACATTTCCTGCAACACTTGCTCAACACTGCCCTCATCTGGGATTTCTCCGTGAAAATCGATGCCCATGAGATTTGCCATTCTGTGAAGTAAGCCAGGCACGTGAAGCAGCTGCTGGCGGGCGTGTTCAATGCGGTATGTCCAGGCATGGTCGATGAGGAAAATGCTTCAAGAGAATTTTGATAGCATTACAATGGAATGTATAGAGATATTTCCATGCAAGGGCCAAATACCTCTCTCAGTAAGAGCTACATGTTCTTGCAGAAAGTTCAGTAACTAAATACTCTCTTAATGGCAAAGTAACTCCCTGAGCACACATGTACCATTACAGGTAAGGAACAACTTCCCAGCAGTAAGACAGCACTCTTTTTGTTCTAGAAAGTTTATTGTGTAATAGTCAGACATTCTACCATAATGAGGCACAAACAGAACAGTGCACTCAGTTTGCCAGCCCAGCTCTCCTTAGGATCCTGGAACACAGGACTTTCTTCCTTCTTCCACAACATCAACCTGATATTCACGGAACAGCTAGAGTTGGAAGAGACCTTCAAGCCTGCCCAGTTCCAGCCCCCAACGTGGGCAGGACTACCAGACACCAGATAAGGCTGCCTGGGCCCCATCCAACCTGGCCTTGAAGAAGAAAAACTATGTACTGTTTTGGAAAAGCATTCCCAGATCCTTCTAGCCAGGAGATCTTGCAATATCTACAATCATCTGTAGAACTAGTTGGAAAGGCATGATCACCAGAAGTCTTATACAGGCTGCAAGTTCAAAAACTTTAAAGTTTTTGACTGTTTTTTCTTTATTTGGCTCCGTTTTTCTTTTCTTCCCCAGAAATAGAATGCACTGTTTAAAAGAAGTACCGATCTGAAACAAAATCACAGCCAACTGGCATATCTCTCCTTGAGAAGTTTAACCCTTGTGCTGGCTGCATGATTTTCACAGCAAAAGCCAACTTACTTAAACAGAAGGATTCTTCACACTTTGGCCATATCCTTTCACTGAATCACATCAAAGAATTGTAAATTCTACTTATTAATTTCCCCTTCTCAGTTTTCATTAAGTTAAAAACATTTCAGCTGTCACGTATGCCAAGTATCCCTGAACAATTATTGTGTATCATATTCTACACACAGCATAAGCTTACTTTAATTTTAAACCTAGAGATTCTAGAGAATGCTAAGGTGGAAATCTACTTCAAAAGACAGTTAGCAAACAAGCATGTTGGTATTCTGCTTCTACAACCACACATCTGAATGCTGCAATTAACTCCAAGACTTTCTAAGAGTTGCTTTGAATTTTACAATTTGTGTTCTCAGATTCAGAAAGGCAATGACTTAGGTTAAAGCAAGCACATAAAGGTAGATACCCACGCTCTATGTTGTTTTTACTCATCAAGACAAAGTTTATGTAAATAGACAAAGTCTAAGATCCAAAGAAAAAACTATGAAAGGTCTGGCAAAATAAGATCTATACAACATGTGCCTAGCAGGCAATTGTATGGCAACACTCTTGAATTACATCATAGCCAACCGAAAGGAAATTCAGCTGTCTGTGTATCATCTCTTACAGCAGCTCAGTATCCCCTGAGCCTGAGGTTCAACAGAAAACACACTGAATCTGCAAATCTGTGTATTTTATTTCTACAGACATCTCAAAGTTACCTCTTCTCTATTCTCTCAGTTTCATAAAACTGATTAATAAGCATCTTCCTCCATGATTTAAGGAGAAGCAACATAAAATGCCTGCACTCCTAGGGCTCTTTACAAGTTATGCTTCATAGCAGGAGATAATTTATCTTTTCTGAAACAAGCAGCTGTGTCTTATGGTAAGAACGACAGACAAAAAACAACAACATATAAAACAAAACAAAGGAGCATTTTTGAATAAGACCAAGCAAGTTTTATTACAAACTGCCCTCATCACTGTAGGCTTTAAGACCACTCGGACACAGGACCAGTTTGCAAATCACTACTCACCTATCAGGATTGGAGGCTTGAATCCCATTCTCATTTGTTACTATAACTTTGAAACAAGGTTCATTTCCAGGATTTGGCTTCTTTTTCAATTCATCTTCCATTGCTTCATCACCTTCCTCTTCCTCATCTACCTCTTCTACTTGCATTATCCCAAAGTAGTCACCAGCATCAAACACCTGAAGTTGAAAGTAAGAATACAAGCAGTTAGTTGAGGCAGTACTCATGTATGCACAATGCAACACTGACAAGGCACAGACAGTTTTGGCCTGCATTCTGACAACAGTGGTGTCTAGCATTCATTCTTTCACCTTTTAATAGAGCTGTCTGGGAATTTTCTCTGCTTAACATCAGCAGGAAGCTGTGTTGGTTTCTTTAGCATCAACAGATCTGTTGACGATCATCCATTAATTCCACTAATCACAATTATTTTTGTTCAATTCCAAAATCAACAATCAAGTGAATCACTGCAAAATACAATCTGATATTATGGCATGCAGTGCTCAACAAACCCAGGTGTTACCCAGGTTCCAGAACCACGATGAAGTACATTAAGACCCCCAGTCAAGTTCTGAGTCAGTTAAGAGATGCAGGAGTATTTTCCTCCTCCTTCCTTACACAAGGAACAGTTTGCTCACCTGCAGATGAGATTGGAGCCTTTTCACATTGCTGCAAGCTGAAGTCTATACTTAGCTCAATTGGTCCACTGAAAAGGGTTTACTTGCATTCTTTGTCACTCTAGATGCAACAGTTTGATCTAAACGTATTAAGAAGGTGAAGGCCACCACATGTTTCCCTTCTGCCACAAATCTTGCCTAATGGTGGCTTTGTACGCCTGCTGCAGAAAACCAATGCTACTTCTCTGATTTCAAATTAAACATGTAATTTCAAGAAGGAAAAAGTATAGAGTCTCAGAAGACATTTCAAACCCTTTTGCAGGGAGCTGTTCTGCTAAGTCAGTCATGCTACGTAGTCAACCAGACAGGAGCTGACAAATGATTAGTCCTCTCACACATCATTTTTAAAGAGGAGTAAGCCATCCTAACAATACACTTTTCCATCTAACCTCGTTAGTAAGCAGCAGGGAGGGTAACATCTGGAAACGTAACCTCCAGAGACACTCCTTCAACATGTCAAGCACCTAGCCCATTGCATCACTATCACAAGTCATTACCTCTAGACACTGACAACTTATTGGCTGGAAAATCCCAGAGGCAGAGACAAGCTTTTATTTGTTCCTTCAGGACAATAATCTCCACTAAGCCCCAGCTGGAGGGCAAGAAAATCAACACATTCGCAAAGCAAGGCCACCTAGACAAAGCAGAGTTGCCCATGGGAGCTAGCAGCAAGAAGGGAGGGCAGCAGGGAAAGAGCACCTGCTGCAGATTTTAACCTAGAGCACTGCATCATAGAGCAGAGCAGACAATACCTGCAAGTGCCTCCTGAGGATTGATGATGGTGTTTTGTTTTGGGCTAGGGGGTGCAGAGCGATGCTGAGAATGCACATGCTAACTTCACATATATGTTTTTCTCAGGGTAAATAAAATCAGTTTGCAAACAACCTCACTGGAGATTAAAAATACAGAAATAAGTAACTGATTTACCATCACCCATAGTTCAGTAGGCATCTGAATAGCTAGCGATTCCAATTTATCTCTAGTTTTCCAGTTTTGCTGGAAGAGGATAATGTTACTCAACAGCAAGCAGTATTGCCATCTCTTGCTGTTGGGGCCACCAACATTTCCTTTAAGATCCTGCTTGCCTGCCTGTACAGTTCACAGCCATTTTAAGCCGATTTCACTGAGGTAAGTTCCAGCCATAGGAAAAGCCCTTTCTCGGGTGGCTGCCAGCAGCATTCTGCTCATTTCTGTCAGGTGGCTCCCAGCTGGAGCAGCATCCTGAGCTGGCTGCCGCACAAGCACTAAACCCAGTCCTGAAAGGCAGCAAGAAGCATGAGCTTTCCCCAACATCATCATTAAAGGCAGCAGTGAAATGACCAGAAGCCATTAGGAAGTTAAAACTGCAAGCGTGATGTACCACAGCCCACCTGACACGTGCTGCCTGTGCCTAACAAATGGTGAGGGCCTGGCAGTGCGAGGAGGGCCAGCTACAGAGAAGCAGCTGTAAGCAAGCCAGGTTTGGGCAAGCCCTCTGTCCCTTCACATTCAGGTACAACTCCAACCTTACAAACCCAGTAAACTAGACAGTGCGAAACAAGGACTGCCATGCACAGGCACCTTCAGCAAATTCCTTGCAGGCATGCTGCAAACTGTTGTGAAAGCCACAGGCAGCCTGTGAGCAGCAGCATGCCCTTCCCTGCTCTGCAAAATAAAGTCTGGTAACACTAATCATGCTGCACACCTACTGATAGTTAAGTAGAAGACACCACTTAAGGGTCTGCTTTTGTCCAAGTTTGAACAATGGTTTCTCAGGGCCACAAAAATACTCACTGCAATACATAGGGGCCTGCCAGTTTTGCTAAATGCAAAATAAGGAAGTAAGTAAATGCGGGTTTCTTGCCCTAGCAGATACATCACATTTGGGATGAGCAACTCAGTGTAATTTGTGGTTACACAAGGCTCTCAGGAGCAAAACGGCTCTAGCAGCTCTCAAGGTAAGTGAAACCCCTCCACTTCTCTTGCAGGCTCTAGCATACAGCAGGTAAGGTGCTGTATGTTGAAGCAAATTCATGCTGGAAAACAGCTGCCTGGGCTGGGTTCTGGATGTACTGATGTAAGAGGAGATTTTATCTACGTAATGCATACAAGTTTTCCAAGTTCTACGCTAGAAAATTTTAATCTTTGTAACAGGTTAAGACAGATGAAAAATTCCTTCCACCTTCACACAGGAAACAAGAGAACTCATGCTGTAGTCTGCGTTTCACAGATTTATTTTCCCCAATTACTCTTCGCTTAAAAGTCCCTGAGCATTTTCATCCTTTTCCTTCACCTCCTCTGCTGCCTTCCTGCTGAAGCTTTGAGCAAGATACTGTGGGCCTGCTTGCTTCAAGAGTTCATCCCAGGCCACTGCACTCCTCATTGTAATTTTTCCTACACAGTCTTCTCCATATCCTTTTGTCCTTCTGGATAAAATCTAGAAGCTGCAATGGCAGAGACACGCACCATTAGCAGCCTGGTTTATCTTAAGCACACTGAAATCATTACATTTCTCTCTCCACGCACCCTGGACAAACAAGTACACTCAGCCACTGTAGCAAGCATATTGAAACAGCGTGCACTGTGCCACACTAGGATATGTGCCTTCTCTGTGCCAGCCCCTGTGGAAGTATCATGGCTATGGTTTTCCTCATTCAATTCTCTTCCCTCTCAACTTCAACCAAGAAGTTTGTGGCTTATCAATACTCATAAATGTCAAATGGTAGGAGACAACTGGATGGGGCCAGGCTCATTTCAAAGGTGCCCAGTCAACAGGACAAGGGGCAACGGGCAGAAACTGAGATCTAAACAGTTCCATCTGAACACGAGGAAAAACTTCTTTAAAGTGAGGGTGATGGAGCACTGGAACAGGCTACCCAGAGAGGCTGTAGAGTCTCCTTCTCTGGAGATACTCAGAACCCACATGGACACTTTCCTTTGTAACCTGCTGTAGGAAACCTCTGTTAGCAGGGGTTGGACTAGATCCCTTCCAACCCCTATGATTCTATGAGAGAGCATTTGCTTGAGTTAACGTAGATGTATTCTCTCTGCAATACACAGCTATTCCTCTTACTTGCAGTACCAGACATGCAGCTGTTAGAAACAACCAGAAATGCATTTAAACCCTCCTGAGTGTGCTGCAAGCACTCTGATGGTATCACATCTTCTTAAACTTCCATTCAACTGTGAAGTTGGGATGAGGAAAAAAAAAAAAGAAGGCACTCAAACAATCAGAGCTGAGTTTCTTTGTACAACTGCTTAACCACAGCTCTTCTTCCTCACCCACCACCCTGCAGCTTCTCACCCTATCTCCTAAACCACAACCCCTGCTCGCTCCCTCCCTCTCCCCACACCCTCAGGCTTCATCGAGCTCACTCCGCCCCAGGACAGCGAGCTCACCTCGCCCTTATTGCCTCCCGTAGGCTGACTCCTCCAGACTCCCCGGAGCGCTCTCACTTTTCCACACAGCTGGTTTCGGGTCCTGCCTTTCCCGCCTCAGCTCCCGGTTCCACTGCTCCAGCAAATCCACGCTACCTTTCCTCACCGCTGAGGCTGGCGGCACACGCACCACATCCTAAACAATTCTGAACCGTGCCTACCGACAAAAGCGGTCCCGCTCACGACCCATTTCCTCTTTCTTTTCTTATCGAACGGCGGTCAGCCGCTGAAAACACGAGGCAAAAGGGATTCCTCGCTCCGCCGCTGCTTAACCCCGGCCACAGCGCTCTCCCCAGCCCCGTCTCGCACTCACCTCTCCGCGCAGCTTACGGCACAGGCTCTCCCAGTAGCGCGCCGGGACGCAGGAGGCGCGGAGCGCAGCCCCGTGCAGGGCCACGAAACCCGCCAGCTCTTCATCGCCGTCCCCCGACATGGCCGAGCCTGGCGCAAACTGCTGCCGTACCCCTGCCCGCCCCGCCGCGAAGCGGAGCATGCCGGGTGGGGCCTGACCGGGGAGGGAGACGGAGCGGGAACTGCGCGCGCGTGGCGGGTGGGGCCTCATCGCGCTGAGAGGCGCGGCTGTGGGCTGCTGCAATGGTGCGTGGTGTCGCTGGACGCGTTCGCTTTTCGATGGAACTTGCTGGTCAAGAAAGCGTCCAAATCGCGGAGCTCCTTAAGTGGAGAATGAACATTAGTGTCACACTGAAGAAATCGCCTTGTGTTGCTGGACTGATGTGTGATATAGAGTAGCTAGCCCAGCAGTCCTTTCTCCACGTAATCAGTTATCATGAGGCAGATCTCTGTCAAAGAGCTGTGGTACCGTGGTCAGACACTGACGGTATAAAGAGATGAGATGCATGCTGTAACCATATGCTGCCGTTCCAGCACGATCCCCAGGCTATCTGAATAGAAGACACAGGCTGATCTTCCCCTGTCCACCCCACCATGTGCTCCCACGTGTTCACAGCATGTCACTAAGCAGACCTGCCTAAATGAGCAACAGTGTCAAAAACCAGCTGCCTTAACTGGGTTCCTGCTACGCGTCTCTATGATTGTAGATATTTCTGCTAATATTGTAGCTTGGAGAAAGGATGTCTGTGGTGGAGATCTCACCCCTGCATTATAAAAAGCAGGGACTAGACTGCTCACAGCTCTCGCGGGGATCTTGGTTACTACAAAAGCTCCCACAACCACCCTTCTCTCAGCTATTGCTGTGCCATAGGCTCACTACAGGATGTGTATTATGGATACACACACCCTCATGTACAGCCTGTATCGTGTATACCAAGTCACAAGACTTGTTTCTTCCTTAAGCAAATCCAGTAAGAAAAGTAGGATGTCTTTTCATTTCCTTGTTCAATAGAGCTGCACTGAGCATGTCCTGTCCTGGGGGGAATGTGATCCTGAAGATTTACGTAACCTTGTTTTTGCCAAGTGCAGGCAGGTGCTTTCTCACTGCCTGTGTGCACCTTCACCTCACTTTGGGCAGGACTTCTGGCCACCGGCCAGCTGTCTGTGGTTCCAGGCTGTTTGGGTGACTGTGCAGGTCAGGCAGGTCAAAACTGTTGCTGGTGAACTCAAGGTAATAATAAAATGCAGTCAGAATCACTGGGATTAAGAGCAGTGAGACTCTGAGATGTGGAAGCAACAGTAAATTGTATTTATCTCCTTACTTTATCTAATGAGGTTTTATTTGCCTGCAGCTCAGCCTGTTCTGCTGTTTTTCCACCAGGAGTATATCTATATCCTGCAGCAGGGATCAGAGTCCAACACTTGGTCATTTCACATCACCATCTCAGCTGCGGGGCTACACAACAAGGCTTTCAGGAGCAAGTATTCCTACCCCACATCACTGACCGCTTGTGATGCAAAAAAAAGCAGTAGCCCCGCTGTCACCTCTCATTACAAAAACAGGTACTTGTTGATAATATCTGTAAAGTAAAGTGGAAATATCTGTAAAGTTACCTCAGAATATTATTCTGATTGTTTTCTTAGGAATAGTGACTAATTTGCGGTACCCAAACAATGCCTCAGCCCTTACTGAGGCAAAGTGCTTGTTGAGTTTGACAGTGCACAAGTTTTGCACAAGTGTTTACAATCAGGGAAGTTAAAAAAAAAAAAAAAAAACCAAACAAAATTGACCTTTCTAATTTTACTCCTGTCTGAAGTAACAGGATCCAACCTTCCAGCATTATCTGCAGGGGTCCAACCCAAGCAGCTAGGGTGCCACTTTGTCACAGCAGTCCACTTGCCCACTACAGCCTCATTTATATTCTGCCCTGCAGCAGCCAAAATGGCTACTAAATAAATGCCCATCTGCATATTTTGTCTAGTGTGGTATGTGTTATTTTTTTTTTAATACAGCAACATTTATAGCAAAACTAGTCTGTAGCTACTTAGAGGAAGAGCATCCCTCTAAGCTCACCTAGCAGTATGATAGAAATAAATTTGTTGGGGTGTTAGGCAGCAATGGCAGCAGGAGAAAGCAGACTGCAACCCATATTGGCTTCATGTGCTGTAGGAGCTCAGATATGGCTCCATGAAACAGAGGACGAAAGACTTGCTCTGACAGGGAAATATCTCTGGAAAGTCCTCCAGGATTGTACAGGACAGACCCCTTCTGAGTCAGCCATGATTGGTGGCTGAACAAAGATGAAAGCAAGTCTAAGTAAGGCTAAGTGTGCCTTCATTTACCTGCTGGGTCTCTCCAGAGTGCCATTCATCAGGCCAAGTGTCAAAATTATGCTTTGTGAGCTTGTTGGGAAGATCTGAGATCTGCAATTCTTACCAGGCAATGCTCACTTCAGAATCTTGTACTCAAATGTACATTGTCACAACTGCGGAACTGGTGTTTGCCTTTGTACACAGGTACTTTGTTACCAATAATTAATTTGACTTGTGATGACCTTGAGGAACTTCTGGGTTCAAGTCTTCTGTCTTTGATAGGAGCTGACTTTTCATATTAGTCCATCAAAGATCTGGAGCAGATAAAGACATCTGATCACCGTCTCACGTGTTCCGTCATGAGGCATCGTCTTCAGTCTGATGGAAGTGATGCTCTGTCTTCTTGGAATGTAATTAGAATGATTGCTATTATTACCTAAATTGACTGCTATTAGCTGAAAAAAGCAGTAAATGATTTGTGCAGCCAGTCAGAATGTAACTGTCTCTTTATGCCCTTTAAAGCTGTCACACTGACACCAATAGTCATTGTCATACTATTTATGTCACAAACAATGTATGTATTATCATACGATAAATGCTTTCTGTTAACAAGATAAGCTACTTAGATGAGAGTATCAGTAGAATACCACGCACCATGGTGGTGTGTCAAGTCTCCTGACTGCCCCACATAGATGGCTGCTGTACCACTAACAATGTTCTGATGGCAGATGGCATTGATCTGTTAAGAGGTGCTGCTGAGTGACAAACCTCGCCTTTTGTCAACTGATTTATTAACATCTGCAATTTTTGTCTGGTTCAATGACAACTTGCATTTCTTGGACTGCAAAAGATGATCTAAATCATATTTAACAGAGCTAGTGACGTCACTGTGGATGCTCTACATTCTATTTGGTCCATTAACATCCAGTTTTGGATCAAACAAATCATGGATTGCTTAACTGAAAGTATGATATCTAAAAATCAGCAGAAGGAGGACCTGGGCAAATGCAGTATTTCTACAGCAGGGCTGGAATGGAGAAAAGACACTCTTGATCTCTCCTTAAATCAATGTTGTGGGTGCCAGCATGGTTTCCTCTCTACACAGACCTCAGAGAGAAAGGCAGCTTATGTTTGGAAGTCACTGCTCTCATTAGCAGCTTGTGATAGTAAGAGCCCATCAGGCCACCATCTGGAGAGACCTTTCTTCCACCTGAATGAGATAAACAGAGTTACATAAGAATTATTTGAAGAAATTGTTAAAAATCCTGGGGGAAAGCTGACATGTCACTTTGGTCTGTCCATGCCTCAGTGTCCCAGCACTGAACTCGTGGTTTGACAAGAAAGAAAATGCTCTCTGTTGCATAAAGATGCAAACTAGATTCAAAAATATAGATGTTATCAAGAAGATGATTTGTCTTCTGATTCTTATCCACTTTACACTGGCGTGTTGAACCTTATGTGAATATATATGAGTATACATGAATAAATGGCAGCAGAGACATCCATTCCATTTTGTGTTTATTATGAAAGTGATTTTAACAAAAGTTTTATTACATGCTTCGTTTTGAGCTTTGACATAGAAAACAAAGCTATTAATATACAGAGGTAAAAGGAAGTGTATTTTCTTATAAGGTACATTTACAACAACATTTTCTACTACGAATCTGACAGCATTTTTAAAATATTGGTAAAGCCTTAGATCACGGTATTTTATTTTCTAAGTATCAAATTTTGTACAGTTATTCACTATCTTTGTTCTAAACTACCATGATACATTTCATATGGAAATAGCTGTTTGTACATAATTTACATTGATAATAAAGCTTAGAAGTCCCAGCAGCATCTACAAGGGTTTCATTCAAAATGTCACTCATGCCCGCTATTCAGATTTAGCCAATTGGTACAGTAACCAATATTACGTATCTGGGTATTTTTTTCCAAGATCTAGTCTACCAGAAATTCCTATTTGATAGGCAGTGGATAAGATCACGGTGAACCTAATGCAGGTAAAACTCCCACAGACCTCAGTGGCAGTTTTGCCTAAAAAAGGCTCTACGATCTGATCCAATATGTTAATTTATCACTTCCACCTACCTAGAGCACAGAGATACCATGCCTTTCCTTATCTTTGTGCTCTATTGGGGCATAATTTCTGAATTCCCTTTTTTTCCTGAATTTGGTGTAGTTTCTTATTCTAGTAAGAACTACCACTAACTTTAAAATACATATTCTTTGTATGTTTTGAAAACGGTAAGCACTTCTGAATGACACTTCATAGTCAATTCAGTGAAAACTAGCAGGTTAAGTTGTCCCAGAAAACTCTTCCCATGACACCAATGTGGCTGCAGAAACAACAGGAGCAGTCATCCAGCAGAATGAATCTGACTACTGACCACACGCACACCAGTGCCCTGTAAGTACCTTTTTAATTATCTGTTGGCTATTTGCTGCTGTCAGTGTGAATTAGTGGCCTTTCTAAGATATAAAACATAGAAAACAATATTTACAAAATAAATTTAATTAAAAAAGTAACAAGAGCAAACTAAAAAAAGATATTTTCACAATCATTAAAATTTACTTAAGCAAAGCCACTTCTTTTCCTAGATACTGAGAAATTCAGCTAAAGTTGAATTGCAATTGTCTGTATATCTTTAAACTTGTTATTTCTGCTTTCTGAATATAGGTGGTTTAAATTATTACATCTACAGGTACTTCTGTACATTTTACTCTTGTATATTACATATTAAACTTCATAGATTAAAAGTTTAGTGATGAAACAATAAATAAAT